GATACAGATACAGATACAGATACAGATACAGATACAGATACAGATACAGATACAGATACATCAGATAATGTTCATGTCATATAATATAAAACCAGTTATAATTCTCTTAACAAAGCCCATTTGTTTAGATTTATCAACGGTTAATTCAATTTCCTTACTTTGCATATCAAATGTAACCTCGTTAACCTGTTGAAATTCATAAACTCGCTTACAAGTTATGTATTATTAAGGGAATTTCGTTGTTGCTTTTGTTTTGAAAGCGAGTGAGGGAAATATTGATAAGCTCTGTACGCAAAAATTCCTGTGGTTGGCACTGCCACGCCTGCTTGCCCCTACCTCTTTCCCCTTTAGCCACATCTTCATGATATGCCGCAAAAATGTTGTAGAATTTTCCCCAGCTAAGGCTGAAATGCTATGCATAATTAAGGCAACCCAACCCGATCGTTTAACGAGCTGCTACTCGGAGAGTGATGATGATGCTTGGGCCGAGTTTTGTCTTTATCGACCTGCTGCTAAAGTTTGGCTTTAAAAAAGTTTCACTCTTTTTGCCCGGGCCATTAAAAATTACTTTTTGGCTTTCAGCGTTTTTTACAAATTTAAAATTTCAGCACAAAATGCAAAATAAATGCTATATACATAATTAATTAATATTAGTTGCGGCACTGTCAGGCGCTTAAAGACATTTCTGTTGAAATATTACTTTGCATATTGTAAATGTAACTGACAGACAACAAAGGAAGCGAGCTGAAGTAGGAGGACGAAAAGAACAGGCAGCAACAACAACGCGCAAAACTTTGACATGAAAAGTCATTTTGGTGTTGTGGGCAAAACGTTGAGAATTCATCTTTAGAATTCCCCAACTCATTGGGCTCCCACCAGACGACGGCAGAGGCAACTGCTGATGGAATGAGACGGGGTAACATGATATTGTACAGTGGGCCGAGCATAAATTTGTCTAGGTAGATGACATGGCTAAAATGTTGAGTCAATCTGGTATTAAAGAATAGGGCAAGCTAGTAGAGTATATCTTTCCAGCAACTGTTGCGAATTTAAGGAACAACAAGTATAAATACAATATATTAAATCATCAAACGAATATTGTAAGGAGGCCATCAAATCCAGAAATGCTCACTGTTAGCAGGATATATATTAATATTATATTATATTATTTTATAATATCGATAAACTTGTTTTTCTCTACAAAAAAAAGTCGTAAAATCTTTATATATATATTTTATTTATTTAATTTAAATTTTACCTAAGCAATATTATGACTTTCCAGTTATATATATGTATATGTTTGGCATAGAATGTTTGTATAGAATATAAATTCACTATTTAATTGTTAAGCTCTTTATATATGTCTACCTAATCAATTGACCCACTGTATCGGGCTGCCACAGCATAGCCGCAAGTCTCATTGCAGTGTTAGTTCTTGTTGTTGTTGTTGGTGTAGCTGGTGTTGCTGTCAATTTCACAGATTAATGCGCACCCATTTGATCGCCTTGGCCGGCCAACTTCAATGCCAGCAACAGCAACAACAACAGCGCCTGGCACTCACATTTATTATTGACAATGGCAAAAGTTTTCGCTCTGGTCACGAAGGCGGCAAAAATTGATTTGCGCAAATGTTTTAATCGCCAAAAGTTGTTCAGCCGAACAGTCCTATAAGGACTGTGCAAGTTAGTTACGCATTATGCATAAATTTATGGCTCGAACTGGGAGCTAGCCTCAGAGACACACTCATTTGTGCGTGAGTTATGTGTGCCAGCTGAAAGTCCTGCTGCGAATACATATGTTGCCCAATTTATTTAACTAGCCGCAGGCCCTGAAACAGGGTCTCTCGCCATACTGCAGCATTGGCCAAACATGGGCACAACAAAGACGAACATAACCATAATATTTGCCTTGGGGCAGTTTCATACATTTTTGGGCCAATTTTTTGTTTTTTATAAAAGAAAATGTTACTCTTTAAAAGTTCAAATGGGTTGCACAGCAGAAATAATTTTGGTCGAAAATAAAAAAATATCTTGGCCAATTTATCGTGATATAAAGTATAACAAAATTATGAATTTCTTTATAAAATTTTTGCACAAATTTGTGTAGGCGAAATGTAAAATTTAAAAGAAGATTTAAATACAAGTTTAAGAGTTTAAATAGAAGGCCTAAAGCATTTTTCAACTATACATATTTTTTTTATATTTTGCATATATCTTATAAACACGCAATGTATTTAAAAATTATAACAAAGAATTATTCAAGGCAGGGTAAGAAATGAAATACTTTTTGAGATTCAATATTGAAGTATTTTTTATATTAATAATATCTGTTTAATCTTCCCTTTTAAAGTTTTTTTATATCAATAAAATATTTTTAATTTTCACTTTATAATTTTTTTTATATTTTTTTAAACATTTTATCTGCAATATACTTTACTATATTATTATTTCAACATAAAATATTTTAGAAACCACAAAACTAATTTAGATAAAGGAAAAAATAAAACTCAACAAATATTTATCATTATCAAAACACACAGCAGCTGTTGGCACATGTGAAAAAAAGTATATATACATATAAAAGACGCGCCCCTTTTTACTGATAAGCAACGCAACGATATTAGCACAGCTCTACTGAAAACCGCAATACAAATGAAAATTTCTTCTTCTACCGCTAAACCGAGAAACTAAATGATAACTGTTCTTCGATAACTCTTGCGGCTGCCTAAAATAACAGAAATATAGTTATGAAAATAAAAATAACCACAATTACCAAAAGAACTTATCAAACTAATTCTCAGCTTTACACTTGGCCTCCGAGGAGCTATAAAAAGTCGAGTCGCCGCCAACAGAAGTCACAGTGCGCTGCCTTAGCTTGTGTGGAGCAGAACTATTTCTAGTAACTGAATCTGGTGAAGAGTCTCTCTCTCTCTCTCTCAATATGAATACCGATTTGAAAGCCTTGGAATTGCTGTTCCAACGTCCTCTGGAGCCGGTGTTCACCACACGTGACAATGGTAAGACCGTCTTCGATCT